CCCAAGTAAACCACAGTAAAGGGTCTTGTCCATGTTTTCCTCTGCCTCCTGACTGACCCTGCTGCTTTACCATGTGACTGCCAGCGACACAGCCAGCCCACTCCTCTTAGGATCTGTAAGTGTAACGACTATCTTTTCAATGGCAATTGTTTCCTGATCTGCTAACCTCACTATACCTGAATAATAATAAAATCTACATTTTAGAATACCCAAATGATCCCCAAAGTTCCACGTGGCTCAAAAACCCCAATATTTTACATAAAGACAAAAAAAGTCCGAGTCCTTTAGAGCAAGAGTCAGAAAGCGTCTTCTAAAAAGTGTCAGAAAGTAAATATATCAAGCTTTGGCAGACATAGGATCTCTATTTGTAAGTTTTACCACTTTTTAAAAATGTAAATACCACTCTTCCACGTGCCACACAAAAAGAGGCTGCAAACCAGTTAGCCCTATAGGTCACAGTTTGTCAATCTCTACTGTAGATGACAAGAAAATGTTTACAGGTTTTAGGTTGCCTTGCAAAACATAAAAAGCTTTACTGAATCCACACTCAGATTTAAAACCGCCCTAACAATGCACGACTGGGGAATCACTATTGTAAATGTGTACAATAAACCTAGTGGTTTCCCTGTAAATCTCACACCAAAAAAGCCATCCGCTTCTGACCCAGATATAACTACTAAGAATTCATGTGACCATGAACTCACATCTATGTAGAAAGAACACAATGAAAAAATATCACTGTGTTGAAATAGCTATCCTGGCTAGAGTCCAGCAGCCACAAACTCAACAGGTTCACAAATCAAGAAACCCAATGCAAGGAAAACATATATCTTTTCTAAGTAGACTTATAAATTGTGGATTTCTCTAGAACCAGAGAAGACAGGAGAAAATAAACACATCCAATTATCAATTTATCCTTTAGGATGGGAGGTGCTATTTTACTAACAGCTTTCAAAGATAGTTAACAACCACCAGCAGTTGAACCAAGAAAATGGTCTTTCACAGGAAAAACAAACTACTAAACTTTTCAAGAGTAAAATAAAATTTATGCTCACAACTATTAAAGGGATAATCTCAGTAATTTCCAAATTCTTCTTAAGTAATTTTTATGCACCAAGAATAAATGTTGGACAAGTCTGTAGCATCATAATCCTAAAATTAAGGAAGACAGAAGGGGGTCAATAAAAAGCAAAAAGTTAAAATCTGCTCAGTGTTTCAAATGTTTTATATTTAGTTTATCTCCTAAAATTCCACCTTAATAAGAAGTATACTCAAATATGTGTGCCCCATTTGAACAAGTGGCCAAGAACACTAGAACTAGGCTTATGTCCACATAAAGAGGAAAGAACAAGTTGAAAACAGATGTTCAAGGGTTCCGTTCCTGTTGGAGAAAACTTGTCTTTAACTCTCCAGAGTGCTGGTGAAAAATACATGAGTGACCCTAAAGTGGAAAAAAGAACCTTCCAGACTCAGAGACTGACTTGCTTCTCATTGTGAGGTTTTTCAATATCCATAGCCAGCCTGAGTAATAGGAAATTATTTCTAGAGAAATCAATTCATTCTAATTTAAACAACAGCATTTTACTTCATTATACAGTTATTTCATTTATTGAGATTTCATCACAGAAAATATTTTAGCTGTATAAATTCAGTTAATTGAGGGGAAAAATAATCCTAAATGGCTTATTTTAACAACAGTTAAATAAGTATCTCAGATAGTTCTGACATTGCTGATGATTTTTGTCTTTTAATTTTAACAGACTACACAATGTAGATTAAAATATATCAGAACACAGCAAAGTCTAATTTTATGAAAGTTTATAAATTGAAAGGCAAACTCAAATGAAAGCCACCTTGTGACTGGGGTGTTCACAATGGCTTCCACAATTGCTATCCAAAGTAAATCCAAAAAGACTGCCCCATGCAGTTGCCTTCTGCTGTTGAAAAACATTTTCCCCTCAATTCTTTGTAGGGTGCTGGAGTTTTGGTTTGTATCAGTATCATCAAACATTTCTAACTTCTGTCTAAGGGGTTACCTCTTCTAGGAACACTTCTATTAATATTTCTTCCTCTAGTCATAATGCAAAGGGAGATGAAAGAAGAAGAGAAGGAGATGAAAAGAGAAGAAAGAGGAGGAGGAGGAAGAAGAAAAGGGAGCACACTTAAAAGAGCATTTCTTATGGACCAGCTGCTAATATTACCTTTCACTTCCATAGGAGGAAACAGGTACACACTTCCATAGGAGGAAACAGGTACACAAGTAACTTGGCTAAGATCATACAGCGACTTGGGTTCAATTCCTTTAGATGCTACTATAGTTTCCTAGATATGACCATCTCATTGAAATCATTGCATTGCTTAATAAAAGCCTATATATAAATCTGTCTCATTCATTAAATATTAAGTATGCTTACAATGAGAATTTGTCATTTATCTTTGTCATCATTCAGTAATTTCCGATTAGATGTTTGATAAATCAGTGAATGAAAGAATGAACAAATGAACCAAAAACCAGTGAAGGAACTCAGCTGAAGACTGGTGACTTTGAGACCAGAAGTACTTTCTTGAAGGTTACACCACTGACTCACTGTGAACTTCATTTATGGGATGCCCAAAATGTAATCCTTCTGAACAGCATTTTTAGGAATCTTGCCATAAAACAAATAGCTCTCACATTCTTGAGCAAACTAATATAATAACAATTCTGCTTATATACAGAACATAAAAAAATTCATTTTTACTTTTTGCAATTCAGGAAAAGGGCTGAATTTTGCTCCAAAACAACTCAAAGAAGTTAGCATTTAATTTGTTTGATGAGGAAAATTTGCTGAAAGATAATTAGCTCTTAATGGAAACAGGCTAGTAGAGTATTGCTCTCTCTCAAAGGAATGGTTTGGTGCAACCTACTGTAAAATTAAGAAGAGAAAAAAGGGCAGAGCTCAGGGGAGTTAACACATCTCTCCCAATAAAACCGCTTCAACTTGGCAAACAATTTACCTTTCTGAGAAAACTGGCACAACTTACATTGGGAGCAATTTGGCAACATCTCTTCAAATTACAAATGCTTAAACCAGTGGTTCTCAAACTTGTTTGAACATTTAATCAGCTGGGGAATGTCAATGATTACTGATACCTGTGTCCAGTCCTAGAGACTGTGATTTAATTGGCCTAGGGTATGACCTGGGCTTTAGAATTTTTTAAAGATCCCATAGCAATACTAATGTACAGACAAGTTTGGAAATCACTGGTCTAAATATCCTCTGATGAAGCAATTCCACATCTCATTATTTACCCTATACATAAATTCACAAATGTGATAAATGAACTGTGTCAATACTTGTAGCTTTGCTTTATAAAACCAAAAGATTAGGGAAAAACAAATATTCAACAAACAGGGACACCTATGTGGATGAATGAATATGTGTGTTTGAATATGAATGACTATGTTAAATGAATACATAATATTCATAAAATGAAATACCATGTATATGTTTTAAAGAGGTATAAATGGTATGCGAATTATATTTCAAAAAAACTGTTAGTCAGGCTCGGTGGCTCAGCCTGTAATCCCACGCCTTTGTGAGGCTGAGGTGAGTGGACTGCCTGAGCCCGTGGGTTTGAGACCCTCCTGGGCAGCGAGACCTCATCTCTACAATAAATAAAATTTTTTAAAAAATCAGCCGGGCATGGTAGCTCATGCCTGTAATTCCGGCTACTTAGAAGGCTGAGGCGGAAGGATCACCGGAGCCCAGCATGTTGAGGCTGCGGGGGCCAGAAGTGGTCACTGCACTCCAGTCTGGGCAACAGAGTGAGACTCCAACTCAAAAAATAAAATAAAATAAAACTGTTAAATTTTTTAAAGAGGTACACAATAGTATAGATAGCATGCTACCATCTATATGAAAAATAATACACAAACTGGTAGCAGAGGCTATCTCTTTGGAGGAAGGCTTGCTTTTCTTGCTTTTCCTCTCAAATACTGAAATTTGGAAGATGTTATATATTGACTCTGAAATATAAATTTTAAAAATTAAAATGAAATTAATATAAATCTGGTAATATTCCCCAGGCAAACAAAACATTAAAGTGGCACAAGGGACATTTTTGGAATAACAGAAACACTCTTTATCTCAATTGTGGTGGTGGGCTTACACAACTATTGTATATGTTTGGTCAGTTTGTTACTGGTTGGGCTTGGTGCCTCAGCCTGTAATCCCAGCACTTTGGGAGGCCGAGGCAAGTGGATTGCCTGAACCCACGGGTTCAAGACCAACCCGGGTAACTTGGTGAGATCTCATCTCTATAATAAATCAAAAATTAGCTGGACATGGTAGCACGTGCCTGTAGTTCTGGCTACTTGGAAAGCTGAGGCGGAAGAATAGCAGGAACCCAGCAGGTAGACGCTGGGGTGGCCGTGAGTGTGCCACTGCACTCTAGCCTGGACAATGGAGTGAGACTTCAACTCAAAAAAAAAAAAATTCACAGGACTGTATACCTCAAATGAGTGGATTTTACTTCATGTAAATTATACCTCAATAAAATGGGTTTTAAAAAAAAGCTAATATGACACCTGGACCTCTTGAACACTGCTGGTAGAAATCTAAACCAGTACAATCAATCTGGAAGACTCTGTTGTGGTACAGGGTATCTACTGGATCTGGGTGAGCACAAGCCCTGTGGCCCAGCATTTCCATGCCCACATGAGTAACCCAATGGAGACATCCATGTGGATTCACCACTGTGCATGCACAGTAATACTCATGGCTGCACTCTCTCAGATTTGTTAAAAGTAAAATGAATTAGCAGACTGGTGTATTTGTACAATGAAAGCCAGGCAGGAGGTGAGCTGGTTTGAAAAGGCATGGCCAAGACCAAGGAACTGTTGGCAAAGAGCATGAACAGAAAAAAGGTAGACAAACAATTCCGGACTATATGAAGAGATATTCAACCTAATTCATGATAAGAGAAATGCAAATTTTAATTACACTGAAATAACTCACCTTATTTGTCTTATTGGCCAAATTTCAAAGTTTAATAACAAATTCTGATGACAAGGTTGTAGAGAAGTAGGCAATCTCACACATGTCCTTTGGAGACACAAAATGGTTGTAAACCCCCCAGGGAAGATAATTTGGCCACATTTTTTTTTAATGTTCAAATATAGTCATCCTTTGATATATCGATAACATTTCCAGGAATTATCCTGTAAGGTGTACATGCATGTGTACAAAATGATATAAGATTATATATCCAATATCACAAGATTAGAAACAAGTCTATCCATTAGAGACTAATTAATTATGATATGGCTATACAATGGAAGATCTGATGACTGTAAAACACAATGTGGAGGGTCTCTATGTATTAATATAGAAGCAAATCTTGAGAATATACTGTCAAGTGAAAAAAATCAAAAGGCAAAAAAATACATAATATGCTATTTATGTATAAAAGGGAGAAATGAGAAAATTCATATTCAAATTAGCTTGCATTTGGATTAAAAAAAGAATAAAAATAGCTAACCATAGGAAATAATAAATAGATAAGGAGAAGCTGGGCATGGTGGGTCACACCTGCAATTCCATCCCTTTGGGAACTGGAATCAAGAAGATTGCCTGAACTCAAGGGTTTAAGACTAGCCTGGGCAACTTGGTAAAATCTCATCTCTATAACAAATCAAAAAAATAGCCAAACATGGTGGCGTGTGTCTGTAGTACCAGCTACTTGGAAGACTGAGGCAAAAGGATTGCTTGAGCCTAGCAGGTCAAGGCTGCAGTAGCTGTGAGCATACCACTGCCCTCCAGCCTGGAGGACAGAGTGAGAATCTGACTCATAAAAAGAAAGAAAAAAAAAGCAGAATGGAAAAGGAAAGAAATAAGACTTCTCAGTATCTATCTTTATATAGTGTTCATTTTTCCCACTAAAAAATTATTACTCATTCCCAAATGCTGCACTTCAAATGTATTTTTAAAAATCCAGTAAGGAAAATAAAAGAAACTCCCTCCCTCATTGATCCCTTCAAGATATGTGAATGGTGGCTCAGCCTGTAATACCGCGCCTTTGGGAGGCTGAGGTGAGTGGATTGCCTGAGCCCATGGGTTCGAGACCTGCCTGGGTAGGCGAGACCTCATCTCTACAATTAAATCAAAAAAATAGCCGGGCGTGGTAGCACGCGCCTGTAATTCTGGCTACTCGGAAGGCTGAAGCAGAAGGATCGCCAGAGCCCAGCAGGTCAAGGCTGCAGTGGCCGGGGCGACAGAGTGAGACTCCAACTCAATAAATAAATAAATAAATAGATAGATAGATAAATAAATAGATAAATAAATAAATAAATATGTGAATGGACTTGGAAAGTTGCACACAGGTTGCTAGGACTTCCCTTGAAAGTGTGGGGGGGGGTAACTGGCCTTTAATGCATGACTCCCAACCTCCTTAACCTCTGGAGCCTCAGCCAAAACTGACACGAGTAAGTCTTAACACCCTATTTCTGGAGAAAAGGCACACAAACAAAATCCAGGAAGAGAACACAAGCAAGGCAAAGGTAGCACTTAAAGGAGAGGGAGGTGGTAAATAAGTAATTTCAGTTAACAAAAAAATTTAGGCATCCTTTTAGCCAGTATTCAAATGTTATCTTGCTCTCTTAAATGATTATACAGTGTTCTATATTATAGCTATATCATATTTTATTTATATAAAATTCTTTAAAATTATTTGCCTCACTAGAAATCTGTATGCAGTTTTTCTCTAGAAAGAATTCTTAGAAGTAGAACTAAAGGTTGAAGGCCATGCACCCCTTACATTTTAATTACAGTGAATAAACATTAAAGGAGATTCTATATATTATCAGTAGTCACATGAATGCAAAATAAAATGAAATTCCATTTTCATTTATTGGTTTGGCAAAGATATTGGCAAGAGTATGAACAAATATGAAAAGATCTCCAAATCATTTTTGATAAATGAAAAAAATTTTTCAGGAAAATATGTACAAAAATGATACTATCTATAATGTTCTAAATAAAAAATAAACCACCACAAAGCTATTTCTGTGTGTATGTGTGTGTATATATACATAAACACACACACATATATATGTGTGTGTGTAGGTGTATGTGTGTAAAACTTAAGTAGCCAGAAAATCAGGAAAGACACATACCAAAACAGTAACAAAGCTGGACACAGTGGCTCACACTTGTAATCCCAGCACTTTGGGAGGCAAAGGTGAGAGGATTGCCTGAGCCCAGGGGTTCGAGACCAGCCTGGACAACTTGGCCAGCCCTTGTATCTACAATATATTTTTTAAAAAAAATCAGTCAGGTATGGTGGTGCTTGCCTGTAGTTCCAGATACTTGAAAGGCTGAGGTAAAGGATCACATGTCCAGCAGGTAGAGGCTGTGGAGGCCGTGAGCGTACCACTGCACTCTAGCCTAGGTGACAGAGTGAGACTCCTACTCAAAGGAAAAAAAAAAGTATGTAGTACCAAATCCACTTAAAGTTGTCACTGTCCTACTAGAATACCAAGACTTCAATAGATGTGAACAGTAGATATAGAAATGGTCAAGTATAATGGGACATGTTTTATCCAGCTCATTCCTCAGACCCTTAAAAAGTATGCACTTCCATCACTTCACATATATGGTACTTGAAACTTTGCTAATTACAATGGTACTTTGGGGAGAGCTCTGTGAGACAAGGGTGGTGGGGATGGTGGGGAAACCAAGAGCACCTCTTGATTTTATTGTTAAATTGATTTTATTGTTATATATATTCAAATTTACTTGTTTATTTTATTGTTAAATATATTCAAATTTACTTGTTTAATTAAAGCAAAACAAATGTATAAAAATTAGTACATTAAATCCTGCTTGTAAACTCTTTCAAAAAAAAACTAGAGTAAGCTGACTTCTAAACCTAGACTCTAATAATTTTTTAAATAAATGGTTCTATAGAGGCCACTGATGATCCGTTTTCTACTTTTCTAGGTTTTTTCTCAATATGAGGTATTTCTATTGAATTTATTAGTGTTGGTAAAAAGGGAGTCTAGGAAACATGTTACGTGAATGAGCTAAAGTTAATCTTTAATAAAGTAAATGCAATCTGTTCAAACTAATGAAAAATTAGTATACAGTAACATCTGAATTGTTATTCAACTTCTAATACAGATTCACTCTTTAGAATTAAATTTCTGGCCAGGCTCGGTGGCTCAACCTGTAATCCCAGTGCTTTGGGAGGCCAAGACCCGCCTGGGCAACTTAGCGAGATCTCATCTCTACAATAAATCAAAAATTAGCCGGGCGTGGTAGCGCGCACCTGTAGTTCCAGCTACTTGGAAGGCTGAGGCAGAAGGATCGCTGGAGCCCAGAAGGTCGAGGCTGCAGTAGCCGGGAGTAGCCACTGCACTCCATTCTGGGTGACAGAGTGAGACTCCAACTCAAAAAATAAATTAAAAAATAGGATTAAATTTCTGCTTGTAGATTCTTTAAAAAAAACTAGAATAAATTGACTTCTAAACTTTGTCTATATCATTTTTAAAATTTAAAAAATAGAAACAGAGCTTCAAATTGGCAAAAATAAAAAGGATATCAGTTCAGTGCTCTCCAGACTCTTTTGCAATACAGCCCAAAGAACAGAGGATAATATTTGTATGTACATTTTGGAAATAGATGTGAGACAGTAAAAGGCCTGAGAGCTGCTACAGCCCCAGCAGTGGGATGACCCAGTTTGTCAACTAAAGTTTATCAACTAAATAAAGTAGTAGTAGTAATAGATGACAAATATTGTTGAGATTTAATAAACTGTTCAGTACAAAAATGAGGAAACAATGGACATTTTTAAAAGAATATGTTAGGTTTTTTTCTTTAAAAATTTACTGTATTGAAGTGTCATGCATTCCACAGTATATAGTATGCAAACTCTAATAAATGACAGCTATTACAACACATGCAACATGAAAAATTACCACTTTCACAGCTCAACATTAGTCTTTTAGAATCTTATCATCTTTAACAACATTTTCAGAACACAAAACTCATTTGACAGACAAGAAACAAGAAAAAAGAAATCAGAACTTATAGTACCTGGTATAAGTTGGGTTGTGTTCAGTCATCGCAACTAGAAGTTTCAGAGCATATGCTGGTACTGGGTCAGGCTCCATAAGAATGTGCTCATACCTGAAATAATAAAGACCTTTTAAAAATACTCAGTGGTTCATTTCCTGAAATGCTACTCTGAACAACAGAAACAATATTCTAGAAGGTGCAGACATCTGAAAAAACTGTAGACACTGAAATAAACTTATAGTCATAGGACCTACACAGTTAGTCAACCTCATGAAGCTTCAAACAGCTTCACTTGTCACTGACGATGATACTGACCCACCTCAGTATGCTGTTCTTGGGAAGATTCAAAGAAATAATCCATGTGAAACAATTAGTATCGAGCTGGGCATATAGTAAGCAATCAATAAACACTAGTGTTGGGGGTCTCCAAGATCACTCTTACATTCAAAGATTTCCTAGAGAATTCATAGACTCAGCATGACTCATATAGAGAACTCATGAGACTCAGCATGGCTAAGATGTAGCATAGCAATATAGTAAGGATGCACTGCTGAATCCCAGGGGAAAGGATGCAGGCACAAGACTGGAGGATACCATGCGCAGGTTTCCTTAGGCTTTCTCTCTTCTATAAGGAGTAACACACAGTACACTCTTTATACAGCAGTGAAAATGCAGCACATGTGTGTGATGTTTCTGCCCAGTGAAACCCATTAGGGACTCAGTGACCAAGGTTTTTTTTAGGGGCTGGCCATGTAGGCAACCTCAATCCAACATGTATCAAAATTCCAGGCTCCAGAAGGAAAGCAGGTGTTCAGCACAACCTAGACTATTTACACAGTCTAGGTACAGTGAGCTACCCACATCAGCTAAGTGTTAACTGGGGGCACGCTGAGAGTCAAGTTCCAGGATGCCTAGCCAAGGGCCAAACTTGCAAACAGGACATTTTAAGAATAGCAGTCCTGTGCTTGATGCTCAGTCTCAGGTCCGCCATGTTAACTCTGTTCTGCATAGCATTCTTATTATTAATACTTTAAAATCTCAAATTAAATTAACAAAGAAAACTCAAAATGTCTTTACCAAACGTTTCCACAATGTAATTCACACTGTTCTCTCAAGTGATTTACCAAACAAAGTCTGGCTTATACACTGTGCCTTACTTATTTCAGTTCAGCTATCCAGTACAGAGCACTATGTTGATGCTCAATAAAAAGCATCAGATGAATGAATCAACAAACAAACGAACCAGTCAACTTTACAACATAATTCTCTGGAATAGCCAACAACTAAAAAGGGAGGAAAAAATATCTCTAAAAATCCAAAATGTTTAAAAAAACTATGACATGAAACAGATGCTTTTCATCGAGATAATAGGGATCTAGGCTCTTACTCAGAGCTGATTTGCCCTCATTTTAGAAATCATCCTATAACAAGCTTAATTATATAGTCTCTAAGCCCACAGTCATTAAAAAGGAGCCAAGTAAAGGGAGGAGAGGGACTAGTTCAGGAAGGCAACCTAAGAATTATAAGAAGTGGGACTTGAAAGCATAGGAAAAACAAAAAAAAGCAACCCCAAGAACTCCAAGCAGAGAACAGTCTGAGGAACATTTAACACAAAGTAAGAAGCTGCTCATACTTAAGTGGGGTCTGAGAGCTCATTACACACTATAACATTCAAAATGGGGTAGTAAGTCAAGAAAATGTTAAGTTGGGGACAGCGATCTGCTTAACAAGCCAGGAAGTGTCATACTTTTAAATTTTGTGCTTAAAATGTTAAGTTACAAAAAATAAAAGATGTACCCATGTATGACAGAAAAGACATGTTAAAAAAAATAAGGCACAACCAAGAGTGAATAACTCCAAGAATGAAAAAAATCAACATTAGGAAGTGAGCTAATATATTTTATTGTATAAATAAAACAAAATCAAGTAAAAAATCTTTAGAGGTGATAAAAATATGTTTGATAAAATTTAATATCCAATTCAAATTTTTTAAAAAAAGAAACAGCATACTAGAGACAGATTATTAGGTTCTAAGTATTCTTATGAAATAAAAAGTTCTTATCATTCTGAGTCAAGGGTATCCACAAATATTCTCAAGTTCAATGGTTTGCTAGAAGGACTCACCAAACTCAGAAAATCTGTTATACTCCCAACAATTATTTATTACAGTGCAAGAATACAGATTAAAATTAGCAAAAATAAAAGGCACATAGAGCAGAGTCCAGGAGAGAACAGGCACAAGCTTCCAGTTGTCACCTCCCAGTGGAGTTGCACAAACAGCATTTAATGTGCAAAAGTACATGTGAAGTACTGCCAGCTAGAGAAGACCACCCAAGCCTTGGTGACCAGGGTTTTTATTGGGGGTTGGTCACATAGGCATGAACTGCAAGTGACGTTGATCTTACTCAGTCTCCAGCCCCTCCAGAGGTCAAGCTGATATGCTGTGGTCCAAGGCCCCCTCCATTATTCACAACATTAGCATAAATTATCAGACATGACTCAAGGCCCCAGGTCACAGATTCTTTTACAGGGAGGATATTCCAACTGTCTGGAAGTTATTTCCCAGGAGGTAGTCAAGGGCCAGTTTCTTTGGAATATGCAGGGTCTACAACACCCCACACTCGCTGAATTTACCCTTTACAGCACATATCCTTAAGAGGAGAACTGAGAGGCACTGCCATTAGAGTCATAAGTAAAATGAGAATGTCCTCTTCTGTTGCTTACCAATATTTAGAAATTGTCTGGTCAGGGAGTCTCAAATTGAAGTGATGGTAAGAAACTTCTCATGAGTCATTCATGTATCCTGAATAATCAGCAACCCTTATCCCCATTCCTAGATATACTTGAATCATGGAGGGAAGAGGCCACAGGCCTATGAATTATTTAAAAAGCTTCCCAAGTAATTATCTTACTCACACACTTGTGTGGAAAGCACAAGGGAAAAATAAGAACAACTACTTAGAAATGTAATGGAAGAAACATTCTCAGTAGGGCTGGAACATACATTTAAAAATAGGCTTAACACGAAATACATAGAATTTACACTTAAAACTAAAAAACTATTGAAATATTACTGACTGAAACAAAAGTGCCTAGAGGTTTGAGTTTATCTAACCTTGAAACAGGTGAGAATTATAAAGTTTGTACTAGCCTGGACATGAAAATTTTCCCAAAGAATACTGTTCTGTTTTCTTCCTACTGGAAAAAAAAGCAGAGTAATTCATAATGAGTATGTTTATAATACAAATATTGAATATATTTTAGTTTAATCAAAGATGGGTTTGTAATGGTAAGCAAGAGTACACTGTGATTTATTAGCATGTCTTCTAAAGAGATAAAAAAGCAAAGCTAATAGCAATTGTATCCTGCATGCCTCTGAAAGCAACTAAGTGGGGAAAAAAAATAGTGATGCGCCCTGACTCTTGAAATGGCCTCAGAAAAAGACTGACTGGTAAAGAGCTGTCCCATTCTGATGGACAGGGGCTGCAGAGGGCACCCCAAGAGCCCCGAGCCTGGCCATAAACTGAGATCACTGTTGATTACACAGCACCCTGTCCAGTGTCACTTGGCCCCACTCTTCTACTTCTAGGATCTTCTCTAACCAAGGTGTCTTGCAAGGGGTCCAAAGTAGTGGAAATTCAGGCAGAAAAGGCCATTCATACTAAATTCACAGCTATCCCAAAGAAGAGAAAATCCCTTTAAAAATCACATATTTGGGGACCAAGACAAGAAGCTGAAGATGAGGTAGTCCCTGCCTTTCCATTCTTCATCCTCAAATCTAAACTGAATCAGTCTCCAGCTTGTCAAGTACCTGGTGTAAACCACCCCGTTAGGGAGGCTGGCAGTCAACTGAAACACACTGCCTGAATCACCCTAGACTATCATGAGAAGCTATTCTGAGGGATATGACCAAAGAATTGTCCAAGTGCAAAAAAGTGTTTCCAATTTTGTTGAGGGATAGAAAGTGGCACCCTATCATAAAGAGATTCATTTTGCAGGGATTAATTCTCAAACTCAAATTTGTATCCAGTGGAGTGTACTGAGAAGTTGGGGTGGAATGGGAAGCGATTTCAAAATATCCAAGAAACCTTATGGTGAAATACAATGAAGAAGATCCTGCTAAATGAAAAGCTAAAGTACATTATCAAGTCACAATAATTACTAAGTGTAGAATGGGTTAAAGAATACATAAATACAGCCATGTGCCACATAATAACTTTTTGGTCACTGACAGACCAAATAAACAACAGTGGTCCTGTAAGTTTTTTTAACCATGTCTTTTATATATTTATATACATAAATACCACTGTGTTACAACCACCTATAGTATTCAGTACAGAGAACATGCTATACAGGTTGGTAGCCTAGGAACAATAGGCTATACCATAGATGGTTCTAGTTTTGCATAAGGCCACTCTATGATGTTCACACAACAATAAGATTGCCTACAGAATGTATCCATGTCTTAAGAAACACATTATAAAAGGATAGAAAGTTGACATTTGGCATTGGACAGGAAAGAGTAATCTTAGAAAGGAAGTTAGATGGAATGGCAAGGCCAAATCTAATGAAAATGTATTTCCAATAAATTAAAAATCTTAAGTGTAAATTTTTGACTTCATTAGAATACCACAAAGGAATAAGTATTCACATATTCTTGGGTAAGAAGGCATCTTTAGCATAACAAATGTAAAATGAATGAGAAAAAAATTTTATAATTTTAAAGCTTTTAAAAATCAAATATTTCAATGGCAAAGCCACCACTAACAAACCAAATGAAAAAAATTATTTCCAGAATCTTAGTAAAACAATGAGTTAGTATTCTTACTGTATAAAGGACTGCTGCAAATCAATAAATATAACACAGAAAAATGAACAAAATTCACCTAAGAATATACTAAACAGGCAAGAAGCATGGAAGGAATGGTCTACTTCATTCATATCAGAAAGGATGCAGTTTAGAGCTCACAAGTATACAGTAAAATGGGCAGTTTCATAAAGGAAAACTGGTGGTATGAACTGTTTATTATCTTTAGAAAAAAATTTGGCAAAACATATAAAACACCTTTAAAATGTATATATTGGCCAGGGTTGCTGATTAGGAAAAAAAA